CCCCAAAACCCCAAAACCCCAAAACCCCAAAACCCCATCATTCACTTATAGTCATTTTACTAAGAAATAGGAAATATTAAAATATTACAATTTTTAATAAAAATGCTGATGTATTAGCAATATTACCCCTAATAACCATTCTAATAATATCCTTAGCCCTCGCCATTCTAGCAGCCACCTATTCTTCCTCAACAGTTTAAATAGGCAACATAGTCTCAAAATCCTGAGATCCTGATAGATCAGAAACAAAAAAAGATACTTCCACCCTTAAATCATGTATTAGTGATCGATGGAGCTTATCTTTAAATTGGAATGAATTAAGCTAACTAGCAAGGTAACTAATTCTTCCCATTAGAGAAAGATGGAAACTTCTAGGTCTTCATTCATTTTTTGGAGAAAATGGTTGGACATGATTTTAACGAGATTAAATTTGTGACTGCTGAAGACAATGAAACTCATGCAAGGCATAAAAAGTTCTATTCAGAACTAGCTAGATGTAAAAATGTCAAGATCGATTAGAGAGAGTTCAAATATAGAAGTCAAACATGCAAGTGTAAAAGTGAAATTAAATGGAAAGTGTAAGCTGAGGTTGATGTAGCGATTGCAGTGTACTTAATAGACTATGCTCAAAGTAAGAGGATTGAAACAATAACTTTGTTTGCTGGTGATAGAGACTTTATTGATGCTATTACATACTGCAAGTAAAGGCTTAAAAAACCCATCATGATTTTAGCTTTTGAAGAAAATCTTGCTTTTAGAATTAAGCAAAGTGGAGTTTAGATTATTAACGTTTCAAACTATTTGCACATGCTTAAAAAATTTCAGAAAAAGCAAGAGAAAGTCCCAATTGATAATAAGTAAATTGGTAAAATCAAAGAATAAGTGCAGTAGTAATATCAAAGAAAAGGTAGTTAATTGATAGAAAGTTAGGAATAGTAGCTTAAGACTCAATCTATATAAGATCCGATGTAAAGTCCAACTGTTATTGAATTGATTAGCAAACACAGTAATGATTCTTAAACATAAATCGTGGGAATGTACTTTAAAGATTATCTATTTCAAGAGAGTTTATTGAAGACACTGACTTAGCATTAAAATATTACCTTATTTGATGCTGAGCATGCTATTTATACAACCGATGCAAGTGATATTAGAGAGCTATTTAAATTTATTCTAAGTTGATTAACTAGAAATTCTAATCACTGTTTTATATTGAAATGAAGGGGTTTTGGGGTTTTGGGGTTTTGGGG